TTAGGCCCTGATTTCCTTAACAAGACTCCTAAAGTGCAAGAAATAAAATCAAGAATTAACAAATGGGATGAACTCAAACTAAAAAGCTTCTTCTCAGCAAAAGAAACAATCAATGAGGTAAAGAGAGTGTCTACATTTTGGGAGCAAATTTTTGCCACACACATATTAGATAGAGCACTAACCTCCAGGATATATAAAGAACTCAAAAAACTTAACACCAAAAAAACCAAACAGCCCAATCAACAAATGGGCTAAGGAGCTGAACACATACTTCTCAAAAGGAGACATACATTCAATCAACAAATATATGAAAAAAATATTCAACATCTCTAGTAATTAGATAAATGCAAATCAAAAGTATTGTAAAGATAATATATCACACCAGTCAGAATGGCAGTTATCAAGAATACGGACAACAATAAATGTTGGTGAGGATGTGGGGGGGAAAGGCACACTTATACATTGCTGGTGGGACTGCAAATTGGTGCAACCAATCTGGAAAGCACTATGGAGATTCCTTGGAAAACTTGGAATGGAACCACCATTTGACCCAGCTATTCCATTCCTTAGTTTGTGCCCAAAGGACTTAAAATCAGCATACTATAGTGACACAGCCACATGAATGTTTATAGCAGCTCAATTCACAATTGCTAAACTGTGGAAGCAACCTAGATGCTCTTCAATAGATGAATGGATAAAGAAACTGTGGTGTATATACATAATGAAATATTACTCAGAATTAAAAGAGAATAAAATTATGGCATTTGCAGGTAAATGGATGGAGTTGGGGAATATCCTGTTAAGTGAAGTAAGCCAATTCCAAAAAACCAAAGGCTGAATGTTCTCTCTGATAAGTTGATGCCAATCCATAATGGGGGGGGGCATGGGAAAAATGGAGAAACTTTGATGGGGCAAAGGGAAGGGAGGGGGTGGGGAGGAGGTATCGGGGCAGGAAAGATACTAGAATGAGATGGACATCATTACCCTAGGTACATGTATGACTGCACACATGGTGGGATGCTACATCATGTACAACCAGAGAAATGAAAAAATTGTGCTGCAATTGTGCACAATGAATCAAAATGCATCTGCTGTCATATATACCTAATGAAAATAAATTAGTAAAATTTCTCCTGTGTCTTTTTACTTTTTAAAATATGGTTATTAGAAAATTTTAAATAACACATGAAACTGGGTACAGTGATGCATGCCTATAATCCCAGCTTCTTAGAAGGATGAGTCAGGAAGATCTCTTGAGTCTAGGAATTCCAAGTCTGCATAAGTGACATATGAGACCTTATCACTTAAAAAAAAATTATGTGACACTTACGTACATGGCTCACATTATATCTTTATTGTATCATCCCTTGTTTTTCTTAAAGCCCATATGAATAATGCCTGGAACCCAGAATGTTCTTCATAAATCCTGGCCGAATGCATTAAGTGGGGCTGGCTGACAGGGGTCTTCAGACTAAAGATTGGCAAAATCCATTTTCTCCAAGCAAAGTGTTTGTTCAATTGGGCAAAAATCTGAGTATCTGGATAGGCTTTAGCATGGGGAAAGTAGTGGAAATGTGTGAGGTTGTTGACTTACTTGAGGCATCTGTCGGTTCCCAGCTGTATTTACACTATGCTTCAGTGAATAAATATCACTTCAGCTTGGTTGCCCAAATGTTTATTTCTTTGAAAACACCATTTTCAAGCATAAGCACTTGTTTCACAGACTGTTTTAAGAAGCAGATCCATACAATTCTTCAAATTCTACTGTTCTCACATCTTGGAACTTAGGAATCTGTTCAACTTATTGGCCTCTGAGTTGTTGCTTCCCATTTAGAAGTTGTTTTCCAAATGTATTTTATTTCAATTTGTGAAGTGAGGACAACAAAGGAGTTGAAGGAGTTAACTATTTGGGCTTGGTGGGTACATACCTGCAATCCCAACTACCTAGGACACTGAAGCAGAAGAATCACAAGTTTGAGGCCAGCCCCAAACTTATCACAAGTTTAGTGAGACCCTACCTCAGAGAAATATAAAGGTCTGGGGATGTAACTCAGAGCTCTTGCCTAGAATGTGCTGGGTCTGAACTGGATCCCCAGCAAACAAACACCAATTTGCATAATATGCTCGCATTAAAAGAAAAGAAAATCGTTCTTTCAAAAAAAACAAAAAGATTGTCTTAATTGCTTTGATTTTCTACAATGAACAAGTTTACTCCTTCCTTTTCCCCACAAAATGGTACACTGGCATAGGGCCATTAACGATCCTGACATATCAGGCCATTTAAGTGCTTTTGAACTGACTTGCAAGCAATTTTAATTCTCAATTTCTGAAGCAATTGAAAAAAATTAAACATAACTGGGTAGCTTGAAAAAAATCAAAAGAAAGAAATAATATTACAACCTGCTTTGGAGTAAGTTAAAGCTTTCCTCCCCCTCCACCTCCCCTTCCCCCTCCTCCTCCTCCTCCGCTCTTCTTCTTGATATTCAAATTTTAATTATTATTTTTTTTAGGTCAGGATACATTCAATTTTAATTATTTAGGGAAGGCTCAAAGAAATGGAACTATACCTTCACCAGAATATTAAAATTAAAAAAGTTCAAACTGGCTCACCTCTTCCTGAATATACTGTACTAGGAAGAGAGATGATCTTAAATTATCCATTGGAATATTAAAGAAACCTTGAATTTCTTTCTGGTATAAATCCATAGTAATGAGGCGGGTTACACCAGCTTTGTACATGTTGGAAGCCAATAATTTAGAGATGATGGAGCCTTTTCCTCATCTTCTACTGTTTCAGTCTGGATGACTCAAAGATGACATCTTTCCCCTCATACTCCTGAATCTGTACTCTTTGTTTCTTGGCCAGTTTCCTGGTAAACCTGCACTTTGCCTATCACCAACCCCAGCCGCTCAGAAATTTTCTTTAAAAGCTCCATACAGGATGAATTAGAATTTGCTGAAAACTTCACCAGACCTCCTTTGATGATGTTCATCTTAGTTTCTAATTTGGGTTCACACGAAACATCAAAACCTTTTGGTTTTCCAATTCTTGGAGCAAGAAAGGTGGAGCTGAAGAGCTCAGTGTTTCACTGTTTGCTGCTTCAAGTCAATTATGGATAACCTCCTTTTATTCTATGACCACAAAATTCCTCTCTCCACCCTCGAAGGAAGAAATGGCGGGCTCTCCAAGGGGTGTCTCAGAGCAAAATGGCGGATCTATCCACAAGAACTGCATGTGCAGTGACTCATTAAAGGTTTTTGATTTCCAGATGTATAGCAACTTTTAAAAAAATCTTTTTTTAGTTGTAAATGGACACAATATCTTTATTTTATTTTTATTTATTTTAGTATGGTGCTGAAGATCGAACCCAGTGCCTCACGCATGCGAGGCAAGTGCTCTACAACTGAGCCACAACCCCAATCCTGAATAATAACTTTTGAAATAAAACACTGAATTATTTAGGAAGAAGCATCCATAAACAAATGAACTATGAAATGTTTGCATTCTTCTATGACCCAGACAATGCATGGTCTGTCTCAATTTTCTTCTAAGCCGTGTTAGGGAGGCCTAACTGGCAGTGCACAGGGTTGTACTGCAGCTTGTTGTGTCAGCACTTGTGGAGATGGAGTAAACAACATTATGCGCCAGACGGTGTGATTAATCCGGAGTATGGCCAATGGGCCTTCTTAGTCATAATATTTAGTTCTTCCAGGTTAAAAGAAAATATTCTGGTTCCAAAACTACAGAATAAACTACTGAAGATCAGTCACAGAAATGATTTCTGTGGTTTGAAGGAAACTTAAAAAAGAAGATAATGTTTTTATTAATACTTTAATGGTTTATAAGTAAAGGTATTTAAAGCTCTTAAAATAAGAGAAGTTGTTTCTTAGAAAACAGAAAGTGAAGGCAAAGGAAAAATTCTGTGTTTGAAGAACTTTTTGCTTTGCCTGTGTACTTAGAAGGCACAGTAAGACGTAATATTCTTTTTCTTTTCTTCCCTCCACCCCACACTACACCCCCGCCCCTCCCTCCCCCCCCCTCTCTCTCTCTTTTTCTTTTTCTTTTTTTGAGATGAATTAGTGCTATGTTGCCCAGGGTGGTCTCAAAACTTGTGTGCTCAAGTGATCCTCCAGCCTCAGCCTCCCAAGTAGCTGGGACTATAGGTGTGTGCCACTACACCCAATGAGAAGTAACATCTTTTTCTTCTTCTTCTTCTTCTTTTTTTTTTTTTTTTTTTATACTAGGGATTTAACCCAGGGGTGCTTTACCAATAAGCTACATCTGCAGCCCTTTCTATTTTTAATTTTGAGATAACTTACTAATTTGCTAAGGCTAGCCTCAAACTTGTGCTCCTTCTGACTCAGCCTTCCGAATCAATGGGATTACAGACATGTGCCCCCATACCTGACAAGAAGTAATATTCTTGATGAATCTTTTAGATTTTAAATCTCAGATATGGTGTGTAGAGCAAGTTGTTCAATTTCTAAAGTTTTCTCCTTTTAAAAGTCAACAACAAAAACAAGCAGTTTGACAGGATTTTTGAGAGCCAAAGGCATCCTCTCAGTAAATAGTAAATCCCATCCTGGGTCCATGGCAGCTGCTGGTATAGATAAGGCAGAGTCAGGATGATCTTATTTGTTAAAATCATGATATTTTATGGACATGATGATGCACACCTATAATCCCCAATTAAGGCAGGAGGATCACAAATTCAAAGCCAGTCTGGGCATCTTAGACCATGTATCAACATAAAAAAAGCTGGGGCTGTAGCTCAATGGTAGAATGCTTCCCTAGCATGTGGGAGGCCTGGTACCTGGGTTCAATCCCAGGTTACCATGCCAAAAACAAAGCAACAACAAAATCAGCCAATTTTATTGTATTGTTCATTACTTTAACTCACGATGTGGGTCATCTCAGCAACCAATATATAAAAGGACACACACTTAATAATAGTGATGCCTATGTTACTAATCACCGCTCTTTGAAAAGAACATCTTACCTGCAGCAAAGGCATCAGCTGCAAACCCAGTGCTTGCTCATAGAGCAAGTTCAGTTCTGCACAACTGGAGAAGGAGAGCTTGGAGGTGTAGAGGTAATAGTGTACATGCCTAAATGTGGAACCATCTCTGTCGATGAAAAGCCTCTGGTTTTCTAAAGAGGTCAAGGCTGAAGCCTCTTTCCACAGCAAGGAGTCTGGAAACTGAGAGAGTTTGCTTCTGGGGACTGAGAAATGCCATCCTCCCACATTGAAATGAAACAAATCTTCTGCGGATTCATGAGACATGCCAGTCTCCTCCTAAAGGAAGAATAAAAATATAGCTATGAAAGAAAAAATAAAAATAAAAAAGCATCCTGATTGGAAAGGAAGGAATTATACTATTTCTTTCTTTCTTTCTTCTTCTTCTTCTTCTTCTTTTTTTTTTTTTTTGTAGTTATATAGATGGACA